CTATTCTGATAATTAAGGCCCCTATAGTAGCTGTGAGACATCCCCACTGCACGCAGCAGAAAAAAGACAAAGGTGCTGTGATGAGGCGGCATGGGAGCAACTGAGCTTCGAGCAAACGTTATTTCGTAGATGGTGTACAAAGATCGCTGGGCGGTTCCTTAACAACACCAGAGTCTACAGGCGTATAAGTTCAAGCGCAAGACATGCTTGAAACTGAGATGGAGCCGGGCTTGACGACGAATCTCTGCACACCCACATCCTGCTCTTGCGGTGAAAGCACTGCCCAAACTTCTTCCCCATTTGGTCCGAAGCTCCGTAATTTTGCCACAACCAGATTCTGTCTTCTCTATTCAGCTGCGGATTGGTGATGTAGTCCTGGAGGAGGTTCCCTATCCTCGCAAGCTGCAGGCACCAGGTCGAGCTTTGGAGCAGTCTGAGGCAAGGATTCCGCCATTGTTGGTGACAGGTCGCTGATGATGCTGTGGTTGATGCTGGTGATGAAGATAACGATGAAGATTTGTGATGACCATGATGATGACGGTTGCATGAAGCCGAGTACACTATGATGGCCCTGAATGAGATCACCAAGCGACGTCAGTGCCCCAACCAGCATGAAAATCGTCAGCAGCACCATCGACCAACATAAGGAGGGCAAAAATGAAGTGCACGCCTTCCTTGGTCGATCGTTCGTTGCATGAAGTGCTTCGCACACAGTGTGCTGTCTTTTTCAGGCCAGTACAGGGCAACATCAGTAGGATTCGCTGCTTTCTTGACTGATCGAGTTAGTATGTGGCTCAACGCAGCACCGCTCGAACCTTGGGTGCGCACGAAATCTGATCGTATGCCTTTCAAAACACTTCTGGTCGTCGCAACCATTGCGGTCCTCATAATCATGAAAGCCAAGTGATCAATGGCAGCAACAACTGGCGTCGTCGATGAGTATCTCGTAAGACTAACCCCCTTTTCACAGCACAGTGACCCCGTGCAGACATCAGACACTGGTTTCAACAGAAGCTATGACTAAGCATGCTGCAGCCGAAGACGCAAAAGGGGTAGCATTCAAATCAGGGAGGAAGGGTTCGCGACTGCACATGTACGGATTGCTACCAATCCTAAAACACCATTGACATCACCACATTGACAGTGATGGCACGGAAAATTGTAAGTCAGCATGTCTTGGGTTAGTACTGGTGCTGCTCATCGTGGCCATTGCTGCGGGTGCTTGGATAAAGCCTATCCGTGACTACAATGACTACAAGTGCCTTCTGACTACGGCCTGCAAGGCAGGCAAGTGTTTGCACAAAGATGCGGCAACCAAATCAATCGAGCTTCAAAAGCATGTGGACGCCCTCGACAAACTTGCCTCGGTCAATCAAGCTAATAAACCCTCAACCCTAGAACGGTTTAGGGTTTCCCAGCCCTTGTCCTCCCCAAGTCTCGGGGGCGATCTCAACTGCGTGAGAGGCATTCAGTTGTTCGGATGTGAGCCACAACAATCCACAAGACATCCTAACTCATGGCATCTGACTGGAATCCATAGCAATCCGCGAGATCTGCCATCCTGCTAACTTGAAAACTGTCCCCATGTGCTTGATACAAGCAAGCGACAGAAGCGAATCAGTCGCAAGGATGCAGCCGCTCGGATCAGATGCAGGACCGTCCTTGCAAGGTGAACGTTTCAACACCAGACCACGCGAAAAGCAAAGCAACATCCTCCAATTCTGTTCCTTGACGGCTATGCCGTCATGCAGTCTGCCTGACTTTTGTATGCCCTTCTTGAAGCTCGGCTTGGTGCCAGGTCGGTGTTGAGCTACACATGCATGAACACGCGTGTAGTGCACCAGCTATCGCTCCGTAACTCACAATCACCGACCCACTCAGACACGATCGTGAATGCCGGAAAGCAACTGACAACAATGCCACAATACGCCATCCAGAAACAGCGGCGGAACTGTGCCCAGTGCACTGCGGCCGAGGAGCGCATCTGCGGGATGGGCAAGACCGCCAGCGTTTGCAATGATCACCAGATCAGCAAGGGAGCCCGCTGTAAGACACGCCTCGAAGCAGTTCATGCTGGATTTGCCTCAGCACTGCGGGGTAGAATGTCGATGAAAGGACCCAGGTAGCCTGTTTAGAGTGCGGCCCAACCTCGCCAAACCCTTGGCAGTTCACAATGCTTCCCGGCGGCAGAAGCTACATCGTTGGACGAACATCCGCATGGACAAATCCAGGACAAAATAAACGTCGAACACCACGTCGATCCTCGGATGCTAACAAGTCTGATCAATGACCATGGAACATATCCGTTTACCTCACGTGTTACGCTTCTCGCAAAGATTTGCAGAAGTACACCTGCAAGTTGGGAAGCACCGACAAACTGAACCACATCCCCCTGTCGCAGTGGCTAAACCTGCTGAAGTCACTAGCCACAAGGCCTGGCAATGGCAAGTCGCATGACAAAACTGGGTTCGCGTAAAGGCTCCACCAAATCCGCTAAAGAGTTGGGAAGCGAAGCCCTGAAGCCACAACCTCCGAATCCCCTTTGCTGCTCCAGGCACACCCGTAAGTGATATCTCCACGTAGTCTCGGCCACTGCTGGCCAGTCGGATAGGTCCAGAGCCACGGCAGAACTCGCTCCTGACGAGGTCTCCAGGTGTCGCTACACGGTTGAGGGGCCTGGAGGCAACTGCTTTCGGTATTGGCTGTCGGTGACTATAGGAAGGCTAGGAACATCCAAGTACCACATACTTGACTATCAGGACTTGTCTTCAATACGAAACATCTGTCCCGACCCATGTCCGGCAACAAGAAACGAAGGAACACACGCCTTCAAGTTCCAGCGCCACAAGGAGCAGTATGACGTGCAGTCCCACAACGACGGAAGCAGCATATTCGAAATGTCCTGGCTTGGACTTGCGATGTTTTGCGCGAGTATAATGCTTAGCAGGCTCTGTGGCCACATACAAAAACAACAAACCTTGCCAAGCTCCGCACAGCGGCTGTCATGCCTCGCAAGCCAACCGCGGATACCTGCCAGCTTCTCGCGTGCGTTGCCACCCAAGGTGTGGGCAATCCCCACGGAGTCCTCACCAGTCGTGCGAGGCTGTGCAAGCGATAGCAATGACGAAGATTTCAACACCGTTTACAGTCTGCAAGGCTTTGGGTCGCCTGCTGATTAGCGAATCTGGCCTTGTCAGTGACTTTGCCGTTCCAGTGGATTTGAACTCAGGTGTGCTGCAAACCCAAGGCAAAGGACACTGCAATCACCACGATCATCGTCAGACTAAGACTGCTGCTAGCACTGCTCGTCCTGCTAGTGCTAGTAGTCGTAGTAGTAGT